ATGATAAATATACATACAGTGAAAGATTGACAAAATAAATACAAATAATATTAAAAACTATTTACAAAATAAGCTTGTTAGTCATATCTCCACAATCCACTAAGCCTTCTGTAACAAAATGAAAACTGACACTAGCATAATACAATGTCTTCTTAGCATGGTCTATGGTCGTTTGATAATTACTTTCTTCTGCTTTCCATAATAAGCCAAATTACACTTAACAAATCACTATTAAGGGTATATCTAGTGGGAGACGAAAAAAGCAAGCCCAGTAGAGCATGACCAGCCTAGTGTGGCTACATGATCTGAATTTACTGACACGTCCTGAGTGCTGATTAAAATTTATCTTGAGAAGTTGAGGTAAAGTACCCGATGTCTGGTGGTCGTCTTTAGGGACGAAGGCACTTTTAACATCTGATAATGAATTGGTCAGAGTTTAGTGTATTTCAGTAGGATAATTACATGTTCTCCTTTATAGTCGTATAATCATCGCACCATTCTACATTGATATATAACTTTTCATGTTGGCATATACAGAGATAGGGATAAAACTGAAGAATATAACAGTACTATCAAAATGAATACTTTGGAGGGATCTTCAAAGCGTGATTCCGTTACCCACTACAGACAAAAGTATAATTAGGAACGTGAATGCTTGCACTGTTACGTAGACATATTTCATGTAGAGATTTATTAATATTCTTGTTGCATATCTTTGGAATCCTTGGAAGTGTAATTGACATTTAGACTAGTCAACCTATTTCAGATATCATCAAGACTTTGGCGACTAATTAGTTACCAAAACAATTTATAAATAACATTTATTGATTATGATTATGAGCTGTACTTATCAAAAACTAGATTGAGTTGCTACAGTACAACATTTAGGCATTTGGATAGGCAAAAGATGATATTTTCTTTGCTTGTTGGTAACATTTACCCGGTTATTTGTAAACTACTAACATCTAATGGATGAAAAGTTTTTGTTGGGAATAACAGTGAATATCGGCAGTTGATTTTGATGAACGAGTTCAGTGTTTATCGATACATTGTCTCTGCATAGCGGAATAATGTAGCGTTTATCTACTTTTAAATACGGGTACTGATCATCAACAACGTCATATTTCATATGTATTAACGAGTTAATTCATAAACACTGACTAAGCTCTTAAATTAGATCTATTATGTGAGATGGTTTGAGCTGAATGGTGTGGTTAGTTTATGATACCAAAAAAACAGTTGCATCTGAAAGCCAAGTTGCAGATTATTTGACCACATGAATCTATTCAGGAGACACTGAACAAGACTATAATTTATGGACAAATCAATCAAATATAAGAAAACAGGTCTCAGGTTTTGGTGCGAAATTCATTCATCCATTTGGCTAAATAACGTTTTGACATTTCATAATAAAAACTTTAGACCTAATTTTTAACCGTAATCGATAGTTGTAAATCCCAATTCTAATTCCTCACACTGGTTTATAGTTATCATTCATTTCAAGTATATAAGTGAATGTTTTCAAAGTCACTTTAACGCTGCTCAAAGGTCGTCTATTAATTATAGTCTCACCACCTACATTAGGAGTAAGCACGTTTTATTCTCAGAATGGGTTGAAATCATGAGATTTATATCAATTGCGACGATCAATTCACCGAGCTAAGATTGTTACAATGGATAATCTAAATAAAGAATCATGATCTAAACTCTTATCATACAGTCTCATAACCTACTATCTGTTTTGTTTTAATGAAAACTGGGTCACTTGTAACATATTTCCAACAACTGGTTGTTTAAACAATGTTCAAACGTTGTTTATTTCAAGGCATTATGCTTTGACTTTAGTCAGTTAGGGAATTCAAACATTATTCAAATATCATTTTAAAGGCAGTTAAGAATATCGTTGTCCTTCGATATTAAGAAGAATGACTTTATTGACTTTGTTCGATGTAATAATTCGTCGACTGATCCCATTTGGGTTAAGGTGATGATTGGAGGTAGTCGACCTAGGTTTCATGTTATCTGACACTTACCAGCAAGGTGTACTTGTAATCGTGAGGGAGCTAATGCGCCCTGACGGACTTAACCCCTTTTTCAACCAGCTTCACGGTAAGTCGATAACCTCCAACCACCACTTCATCTCAGTATAATGCACGCAATATCAAGTCATCTAGATTAGTGACCATATTATAATTTGGCCTATAGAATTCGATCTGCATTGAGAATGACTTGATACAAATTATATTGGTCACTATCCAGTGATCAATCAATACCAGTGAAAGCCAGGAAACACGTGATAACTTTTTCTACCTATTATGGGGCTCTTCTGAAATGCGCACTTATGACCCCGTAGGCATAGAAACCAGGATCTCCAGGTTTCATAATGAGGCTATTATCTTTAGTCCATTGGTTTGGGGTCCTGTGGTCGGGGTTTCCAAGTTCGATTGATTCATAATATGGCTTCACTGCTTATCCAACTGAACCTCGTAGACCACAACTTTTCAATGGAAATTCTGAAATTCGTTAAGAATTATGTTATTGGTAAGAACGTGATCATAGTTTTATTCCAAGAATGTTGAACAGTTCGAAATCATGAGTCATAGACCAGGGAGATTGTTTACATTTGAAAAGAACAGAGAGAAATGAAAATCACATACTATTTATCGTTAATCAACAATAAGCATGATATGGATATTCTTAAGTCACCTTGAACAGTACTTATATTTGCTAGTCGACTTATATAATCTTTCCATAAGACTGTAATTTATAGACAACCTTTGAGTGACGTTAAAATGACGTTTTGAATGTACACTCTACTTACTAAGACTAAATGAGAGTTATAAACCAGTGTGAAGAATAAGGATTATGATTTACAGTTGATGATTAAGGTTAGGAATTAAATTTAAAGATTTTCATCACGAACTTTCATCAATCAAAATGACAAAACTCTATATGGCCAAATGGATGAACAAATTTCGCACCAAAACCCAAGATTTGATATCCTAAACCGGATTGGTTCGTTCATAAATTGTAGTCTCATCAATCTATCTCCTCATTGTATTTTAATTGCAAAAATTGTCTACTCATGTTATTTCCTCCTCTTGATTGTTTAGGCTCAAGTTATTCATTTAAACAAATTACATTTTGCCCTGGTACGGCCGAGAGTGGGGAGAGTCCGCTCTCCCTCTTGAAATGCTCTCACATGGTTACGCATGTATAGCCTCTGACATGGAAGTCCTACTCACTGCCTTCTCGCACCACGGGTGTTGAGAAGACGAAAAGCGAATGCCTGGCGTTTCAACCGAGTTGGTGGACATGGAGAGTCTACCTAGGAGAGTTGGAAAACCCTCATTCCAAACCAATGGTGCATATGGGATCCAGTATCCTGAAGGAACAAATGGCATATGAACTAAATGTTGATCACCGCCTACCATGAGACTGCACCTCCTTACGATGCTCCACTGCCTGGTGGATCAGACATTTATTCGGAGGCTCCGGGTGTGGTACCCTAAGAAAACCACCTGCTTCGGTTTAAGCACCCGGGCAGTATCACAGCCCTCACACAAGTCAAATGAGATCTATGTGGTGCATGTTTATTTGGTGCCTCCTTGTACCTTGTAATTGAAGATCATGTAGGCACTAATAACTTGGTAGTATTTATCCTCTCAATATGATTATCCTTAAAACAGTAAATTTTGTCCTGTGAATATATAGTTGATTCCTTACTCTGAATCTGCCTTTGAATACTGTTATGTCTTTGTCAATGTGGTATCCAGACACACTGTTCTGTATGTACATATAATAGCAGACCATATTGTGTTTCCTATGTCAAAATGGATTCAAAGATGAGACAGGAAAATGTTTTGTATAATAAATAGAATTATGAACGGCGTAAGGTTCTTGTTAAAGACTTTAGTCGTCTCACACTTTTCTACTGAAATAGCCTGTTAACTTCACTGGTATTGTTGGCTTGTATCTTCCCATTGTCGTTGAGGACTGCAATTGATCAGTTTCTTGTTGGCATATGTTCATTATGTGCGGACTGCCTCAATATTTCCCTAATTCACAAGAATTGTAAGCAATGATAAATGGCGACTAACAGTGGAATCCAGGACATGTGTTTCGTCTTATTAGAGACTCATCAGTTGGATGTACCTCCATCCCAAAGTTGATGTTCACTCTAGGACAAACAATACCAAGTGAATTTATACTTCACATCATTACACAAGCAAGTGGCTATCAGGACTCAGTAACTAAGTGGATAACGCGATGGCATTTGAAGCGAACGGTACTAATAAGGAGTCCCAGAGTGGACATCAACTCTGAGATGCAATTACATCCAGCTGACGAATTCTGACTAGGATGGAACACATCTGTTGAATTCCACTGCTAACCACTAACCATCTTTGCTTATATCCTGCTAACTGTTTATATAAGTCATTACTATCAAACTGATCGGACAAGACGTAAATGTTATGTTTTGTAGAGAAAACATACTATATCAGGCAACATAAACCATTCCTAGGAAAAAATAACAACGATTTAATCAAATCCACCGTCATTTTACTTTTTATGGATTATCACAAATCAAAATGAAATTGCAGAAAGATTCTTATGCTAGAATTCTTTTCAAAAACAAAAAAAAGAAAAGAATTCATCAACGAAATAACGAAATACAATATTCCCTAATGATAACCATGCAATATGTATTCTTCCAAGAAACGTTTTAATAGAAATAAACAAGGTACTTATTTGTTATTCAGTAGTATAACTAAATAAATATAATTTTCAAATGAATTGTCTTATGCTTAAGGTTTATGGGAAGAAAATAATGATTTATTTTTTGTAGGAAAACATTGTTATTTTTTCCCAATAAAAATTGATTTTCAGAAAAAGAAATAAATAAAGAAACTTTCTTATGATTATCATTAGTATTATAAAACAGTGATTCATTGTAGCCATTCTTAGCTTAGTATTTGATGTTTTTTTTTTTTGTTTTTGGTTCGTATTCAAACCATGAAAATTATGACTAGTATATGTAATTTTAAAAGAAAAAAAAAGACTTCCATTCCTCTTGGAGAATAAATTTTGTAAATAAAAGATAAACATTTAAATAGAATATTATTTTGATTATTTGAGAAGTTTTCCACTCTCTCTCTCCCTCTCTCCCCATTCACCCACCTCTCTTCTCCTCCTCCACACCCCTATCACCACACACATACATACATTCTCTCTTTTGTCATGAAGCTTAATCAGTATTCATTGTAACAAATAAATTGAACATTGAGTCTCTCTGTCTCTCTCTTTCATTTATTAAAATGAATTAATTTTATTCTCTGATGAATCCATTGAAATTTTTCCACTTCCTGAACCAGCTCCACTATCTGATTGTGAATTTAATGTATCACTAAGAGTTGATAAATGAGTTAAAATTTGTTCATTATGAATTGATTGATTATTAGTAGTACTATTAGTAGTATTAGTAGTATAATTTAATTTATTCATTAATGTAATTAATTGTGATTGTGATGATCCTATTGGTTGTATACGATTGATATTTGATGTTAATTGATTAGTATAATTATTAATTAATGGATTTATTGAATCTATAGGTATGATATAATTTGATGGATTCATAGATGAATTTGTTAAGGGTATTATATTGTTTAATATGATATGATTATCATTATTATGTCTATTCATTATAGGTGATTCACAATTCATTGCATTTGATGGATTGATATTCATATCTGATAAAATACTTGAATCTGGTTGACCAATACTACCAAAACATGAATTCATACCATCGGAACCAAGTTGATTCATTGTAACCGTATCTATATTACTATTATTATTAGTAGTAGTATTAGTATTATTTAAATGATTTTGTAATTCTTTAAAATGTTGTTGATGTTGTAAATAGAAATTAGTAACAGCTTCGGTAATTTGTTGTTGAGATGAATGATGTGAAGCGAGAGAATTACCACCATTACGTTGGATACTAGTTATGGATCGACGATGAGCTTCAATATTACTATTACTATTATTATGATGAGTCCATGATATTGGAAATTGACCGGGTACAATAGAGAATGCTGATATAGATTGTCTATTACCTGATTTACCATCTGGTAAATATCTTAAATGAATATCACTTGATAAACCATTTGATGATTGATTATCATTTAATAAAAATCCAGGACAATTTAAACCAGTTAAATATTCTGATCCATAATCAATAGATGGTTGATATGATTCATAACCATTAGATTGTGATTGAATTTTATTCATTAATAATAGACTGCTTCCTTTTTTATTCATTTTATGACCATCATGAAGTAATGTACCTAAATGTTGTTGTTGATATCCTACTTTATCACGATAATTAAAACCTTTCCCATTGATTTGTTTCACAATACGTGCATTACGTATTTCTTCAGCCATACAAAATAAATGTTGCATATGTGGTGGATCTTTTGATTCTGAAATATAACAAAAAAAACAAAGTGAATGTGTGTACTTTTATTAGGGATCTTAGATCCCAGAACTCACTTGGGAAAGAACCTAAGTTTGTAATTTTATTTAGAAATTTGAATTTCTTTGTTTTTGCGCCGAATGTGCTCTTGTCACCGTCATGTCGTGTTTCCCACTGGGAAGTATCTCAAATGTTATTGGTCCGTTGTATCTTTTAGTATGCTATTTGGTAACTCTCCCCAAGGACAGTTTTGTACTGTATACATGTATACGTTTTGAATTGTGTTTGTTGTTATCGCTCGTTTCTCGCGGTTTGCAGAATATACTTCCATATTCCAAGCTTGGACTTTCCCTCTAGTTAGCGGGGCTGGAACGCATCAAACAGCTAGCTTATTGGTCTTTGGTCACTGAGTCTTTGTTCTCGTTTGCAGATTAAGTAAACTCGTGATAGCTTCAAACCTAGCAAGTTTTGATAGACAAATGAATGATCTAATAGGCAGATATGAAACTGTTGTTAGGTACAAATGTTACCTGATAATATTTAAGAAGGTAAATGGCTCAGATCAATAACGATGGTTACTATTTATATTAATGGAGCAAAGTATTCTCGTTACATAATTCTGTTATATCTACAGGTTAGTTTCTTAATATACTGCGTATGATCTAAGCATTCGAATGGAGAGACCCTCACAAGCCATGAAGAAGAAAGAAAGAAGAAGATTAGATAAATTTATTGTTGAGCAAGAATCAAAATGTATAGAAATTTATAGGTATTTATAGATATAAGCATTTGTTAAATCAACATTATGATTCAATCAATCCACAAAAAGGCATATTATGATACTGACAAATTGTAACATGCCACGTTAGTATTCTACAAAGCTTCATTACGTTCTCATTGGGTGGAACTCTTTGGTTTTTCTAGAGCCTCTTGAGGCTTCGTCATAGTTCATGGGAACCGTATCAACAAATTCTTTCTTTTTGTCACTTCCAATCACAAATCCATATCCATAAACATATCAAAAAGTCAGTTAATCTTTTATAGTTGTAGGTTATATGTGGCAAAATGTACAGGATTTTCTGATGAGTCATACTAATTGAACGCTAGATTTGAGTTCCTAAGCTCTTCTAGTAGTCCTCAGGTTAAATCTTCACTTTTGATTGATGATACATACTTTAACATACATATGCGCCACACAGATCTCATTTGATATGTGTGAGGGCTGTGATACTGCCCGGGTGCTTAAACCGAAGCAGGTGGTTTTCTTAGGGTACCACACCCGGAGCCTTCGATATAAATGTCTGATCCACCAGGCAGTGGAGCATCGCAAGGAGGTGCAGTCTCATGGTAGGCGGTGATCAACAATTGGTTCATATGCCATTTGTTCTTTCAGGATACTGGATCCCATATGCACCATTGGTTTGGAATGAGGGTTTTCCAACTCTCCTAGGTAGACTCTCCATGTCCACCAACTCGGTTGAAACGCCAGGCATTCGCTTTTCGTCTTCTCAACACCCGTGGTGCGAGAAGGCAGTGAGTAGGACTTCCATGTCAGAGGCTATACATGCGTAACCATGTGAGAGCATTTCAAGAGGGAGAGCGGACTCTCCCCACTCTCGGGCGTACCAGGGCATTTGGCGGCTGATACATACTACTTATATCTATGGATATCAATAGTACACATGACAAGATTATTTAGAATGACAATGAAACTTTTATGATCATACTTATTTAGAACAAAGAATATAATCTGTTCAACATAGATTTTCACAAAATAACATGAACATATTGAATTATGTAATAACTAATGGACATTTCTCGATTCAGAATACACCTTAATGAGTAATTATCAAGGCAAACTATTGACTACTTACTTGAATATTGACGAATTAATGCACATCGAATACAACAGAACACATTGAGTATAACTGAGATGAACACTATAATAATTGCACCGATAATTAATACTTCACGTGTTAAAGCAGCTAGAAATAACAAAAAGAAAAGATGAATTTTCATTAGAGTAAAGCTCCAGTAATTTTACAAAGAAATATATAAACGTTATAGAGATTAAGCGTTCTCACATGAGACCGATAGGTCCAGGGTTCGAATCTCACGAGGCGGAATCGTGGATGCGCATTCACATTGAGTAGTCTTACAATGGGACGAAACGGCCGTCCATTGCTTCCAGGTTTTCCATGATGCTCTAGCTTCAATTGACTCATGATCTCAACTACTGAAATATATATATTGGTACTGTGGTAATCATTAATCATGAGTCATAAAAAAGTACTTGCTCCAGGTATACTTTCAAGGAAGTTAAAAAAACGTCGGCTATTACAACTGGAATATTTACAAACATATCATTGCTAAACTTCAGAGAATGGACGATTGTGAAAAGTAGTCTTGTATTTATGTTAAATGGTTGGACCAAACTAGAGAAAAGATTTGAATATAGATTTCATACTAGATGTATCCATGATATTTTTGTTAAAATTTGTGGCCCTGTGCCCCTACAAATATATGACGTAATAGTACCGCCAATTAGAGAACAGTGATACATCGACAGAACCAATGACGCATTAAACCAGTACTAGCGGTCTAGAGTTCTTACCGGTCCTTGATGTTGAGTCCAGGACACCAACCTCAACCTCTGCGATATGAGTCATATATTCCAAACATACTCGGTTTATATACCAACCAGACAGACCATATCGTACCATAAAATAGGAAACACACATTTGTACAAGATTTGGCCAAATGTGGATGTGAATAAGGGAGATAGTAATTGATAGAAAGGGCATAATTTAAGAATGGTAAATCGTATAACAACAGTTCATAGGTCAAAATAAAACTCATAATAAGAGGTCATGAATATGTATAGTTTAGTTATTTAAGATTACTCCATAAATAGATTTCAACAGTTACCATTCATTATTCTCATAGGGATATAACAGTTTCAGAAGTCTTTTTGATGTGCTTCACTGTTAACCACTATTTTTAGTCGATTAAACTTATCCGTGGAAATAATATTATGGGATTTATTTAAAGGATTCGTATTACAACATAGATGAATTATCAGTATAGGTTTGTGGAGATTGTTGAGTTCTTATTGAGATCATGAACCGATCAAAGTTAAAACACCGTTAAAAACCTTCAAGCATTGGATAATCATTTCATTCTAGTATGAAACCGGTCATCAGTGTGCACCCACTGCCCTAAATGTGGGAATCGGACCCAGGATCTCTGGTCTTACGCGGACACTTGACATGTAGATCACTGATCCGGTAACCAATGGTGTTAATGTCTGACTTCAACTAATCCACGATATTGCGCGACCATCTTCCATTGTTTTCAGTGGGTAAATGACCCAAGCCTAACACAGTTCAACTCTGCTAGTCACGGCTTCTCACTAGAACTCCGAAAATTACTTATTGACACTAATCACTAATGAGCATATGAAAATTATCAGTATAGCGAAATATCATGGATTGATTGAAGTTAAACATTAGACTGTTGGATGCCGGATCGGTGGTCTAGACATCATGCGTTCGCGCTCAAAACCGACGGTCCTGAGTTCGAGTCCCGCAAGAGGGAGAGAGGAGAATTTTCCACTTTTCTACTATCTACTATTCGTTCAACACATCTGTTGTGTTGACAAGAATGATAATGATTTGTTGTTGTCGAGTTTTGGCATGGAAATATACTTACGTTCTAATCAGGTGAATCATGGATTCTTAATTTGAGTTCTGTTGAACACTTGTAGAATATAGAGATTGGGAAAGAATCTAATGTAGATATATTGTCTATGATAAATTCACATTTCATTCGTGTAAAAACGTAGGAAACTTCAAGTGTTATCACCATTTCACTAAATGTATGTTATTATCAAATCACTAAAGTAAGATCAAGTAGATCATATTCACAATTTCCATTCTACAATCACTGTCCATTGTTATCCATAGGAATGCTTTATTCATTCTTGTATTGATTGAATTTGATTAGTTAAGGCTTCTCATTAGTTTTTCTTTTCTTTTGTATGTTGAATAGTCATTATGATCTTTATTGTTATTCATCATCAATAAGGTTAGTAACTAATAAGAGAACATGAATTTATTTACTAACGAATAACCTAATTATTTGACTAAACAATAAAGTAAAACATAGTTCATTACTATTTTAGGGTATTAGTCATATGGTGGATGATGATGATCGGTGCCGAAAACAAACAAGTAGTTAAACAGTAAACATGAAAAGTTATTCACTTTTATTTAATTAGTATTGTATAATAATTATATTACTTGTAAATAGAACTATACTATTAAAACTACTTATTAGTAGTATGATGAAATTAACGTATTTATATATTTCAACAGTTGAGATTGTAGTAATTTCAACGGTTGAGATCATGAGCCAATTGAAGCTAGACCACCATGAAAACCTGGAAGCACTGGACGGTCGATTCGTCCTACGGTGAGACTCCTCAGCAGTGGAGTTCAACCGGTCAGTTGTGAGGTAGTAACTCACTGATGACAGTGGTGGATGTGTCGCTCAATTTCGTCGATTAGTTGAAGTTAGACATTAACACAGTCGGATGCATGCCAGCTCAGTGGTCTAGTTGGTTGAGCGCCTGGCGCGGGACCGACAGGTTCTGGGTTTGAATCCAGCGAGGCGGGGTCTTGGATGCGCACTGCTGAGGAGTCTCGCAATAGGACGAAACGGCCGTCCAGTGCTTCCGGGTTTTCAAAGGTGGTCTAGATTCAATTGACTCATGATCTCGACTGTTGAAATTCCTACAATCTCCATAAAACCCCTTCTGATAGTAATTATATGTTGTCAGAAAAGGGTTTTATTGATATTTTAGTGATTTAATAGTTGAGTTCATGAATCGATTGATGTTAGATCATCACTGAAAATCTGAAAGCACTGGTTTCTTCCTATTATAGGACATTTCAACAGTGTGCATCCACGATCCCGTTCTAAGCATTCGAACCCAGGACCTTCGGTCTGACGAACGAACGCCTAACCTTTAGACCACTATTCTCACTTATATATATCAGAACGGTCTGTAGGATAGAATTGATATTATGATATAATTTGTTAGCTATGAAAAAAAGTGTTTCCCCACTAAACTTAATACTGAATATCACTTGATTTGACCCCTTACAGATCATAAGTAAAAGTTTGATTAGAAGTTGGAGCTTTTAGAATCCAATTACTTGATTTATTTTGAGCTTCTGCTGACCATAATAAATTAATGGCGTTAACTAAACACTAACGTATTAGGTTAAATGGTTTAATTTGTTTTTAGCAAGTTTTTTTTCTACGGGATGGAGTTAACGACCCCATACCCAAACCTCCTCATTTACCCTGACTTGGAACCGGCAATATGCTTAGAATGAACGTCAATATAGTCCTACTGTATGGAGCGGAAATGTGGTGAACTATTACAACCATCATCAATAAGGTACAAGTATTTATAAACAATTGTCTACGTAAGAAACTGAATGTCTGTTTGTCGGATACCATTAGCAAAATCCTACTGGGGAGAGAACAAACCACCTTCCAGCTGAAAAGGAAATTAGGAAAAAACGATGGAAATGGATAGGACATACAGTAGGACATCATCAAACTGCATGACGAGGCAAGCATTATCTTGGAATCGTGAAAGGAAACGGAAAGTGGAAGGCCAAAGAACACACTACTTCTGGAATTGGAAGCAGACATGTAAAAGATGAATAGTAACTAGAAACAAATGGAAATGATTTTCCAGGACAGAGCTGTATAAACAATGCTAGTAAGTAGCCTACACACTTTCACGAGGAATAACAGTCATAAATATGTCAATCAATAAAACAATTTCAGTAGACAATAAGAATGAAATAAAAGTAAAATATCACTAGTTAGTAACTAACAAAAAGCCCATTCAAATTTGTACCATTTTGTTGTTTACATATACTAACTTTTAATCATCTCCCATTCATATGTTTATAATGAAACGATCTTCTTATTGTCTATACTACTATACTACTTAGTTAGACTATTACTTGTTAGAACAACCAAATATCAATATGATCAATGTTTACCATAACTGAGTCATTTCTTTATACAAAAGAAAACTATACCCTTAACAATTCCTTCTTTCCCCTCTCCCATTTAAAAATGTCTCCATGGTACATGTATTCATATATCAATGTATATGTATATAAATAGAAACATGTATTCATCTACCGTTTATACAATATTCATTGAAGATTTCAACAAGCATTAGGAGTACATTCTAAAGAAAGATATGATCTAATAAATTAGTCATGAATTTCCACCTCCAGCCCCATCCCACCACTAACCCCACCCCCAGCAATAAAGACACTCAACATACATAGATAGATAACACATCGATTTAAAATGAATAATATTTTTCTTCAAATGAATAGTAATAGAAAACAGTTGTATATTCTTTATGGTAGTTAGATTGTTAAAAAACTAAAAATGGAACTAGCCACAAAAAAACCCTGGAGAAAACTGTAGGAAACCGAAAAAAAAACAAATCAAAAATTATGAGGGTAGCTCACTCCATATCTAAACTTCCTTATTTAACTGAGCTTGAGACAAAGTGGGATGAAGAATGCTGGTGAGTGGCCTATGTAACAAGCGTAAGTAAAGTCAGTAAGTAAGTAACTAAGTAAGTAAGTAAGTAAGTAAGTAAGTAAGTAAGTAAGTAAGTAAGTGTGTAAGTAAGTAAGTAAGTAAGTAAGTAAGTAAGTAAGTAAGTGTGTAAGTAAGTAAGTAAGTAAGTAAGTAAGTAAGTAAGTAAGTAAGTAAGTAAGTAAGTAAGTAAGTAAGTAAGTAAGTAAGTAGGTAAGTATAAGTTTATTTCAAATTTCAAGAAACGTCATTCATCTATTGACAATATGAGATGACAACTTTATTCATACAGACAAATACCTTCATGATGTTATGTATTCAGTTAAGTACAATTTTAACT